CCTTGTTGTTGGTATCGTTGTTCGAGCTGTTGTTGTTGTTGCTGTTGTTGTTGCTGTTTTTGAAGTCGTTGTTGCTGTTGTTGAAGTCGTTGTTGCGTTTGTTGTCCCGTTAGTTTCTGCATTCGCACCCAGACTTATTGGATGTTAATATACCCTGCGCTGGTCAAATGAATCCAAGGTGTACACGACTTGAATAACTTGCTTTAAACACAGTCTTGGGAAATTTAATTTTTTTCTACGAACGAATCGTTTTTAAGAACTTAAATATATTTTTGGTCGAATTGCTCGAACTAAAGATGGGGCTTTCGGCTGGTGCAAAGTAAAAGTTACACAGTAAGTAAAAGTATTTCGTGACTTTCAGGACAAAAGCGTTCCGATTAAAGTATATATTTGATAGCTTATAAAATATAACAGAATAGTTTGAGTTGTGAAAAAAATTAGAATTCATGTATTATCTGTTAAAACTAGTCATCAGCAGATGACTTGGCTAAGCGAACCGACTCGAGGCCCAGACTAATACTGAGTTATTTGAAGACCATCTAACATAATATTATAATAACAATTATGATTTCAAGGAAAAGTTTGCTTCTTTACGTGCCATGCTTTTCACATATTTTCCCGTTCGAATTTGATGAAGGGAAAATTTGAGGTCGAGTATATGTAGTTTATTTGTGCTTACATCTTTTTTCGTTGGCCGTTCTATCACATATTTCACTACATTTTCATTTTAGCGCGCACTAAATACATATACACTTACACACACATGCATGCATGCAAAAGTACGCACACAATGGCGCATTTCCTGTTTCCGCTTGCTGCAGAGTCGCCATCGCCAACACTCGTAGGCCAGGGGCAGTAAGGGAAAATTTGCATAAATTTTACGTACTTTTCGCACAGAAGGCAAATTGCATTTTCAGCACAACACGTACTCCATTCAACTTACCCACACACACACTCACACACACACACTCGCTTACACCCACACACATTATCCTAGTTTTTGCTACTCCGTGCTAAGGTAGGCCGCGTGTCCTTGCCTGCTTTGCTCTGGATTCTTCCTGTGTGTATCTGTGTCTGTGTCTCTGCGTGCGTGTGTGTTGGTGGATGGCATGCAAATGTTACGAAAATTGCTTTTTACTTTTCATATATGTGAATGAGTTTACACACACATATGATTATGCGCAAAGTTCGAGGCCTGCCCCCTGTAGCTCAAATCGAGGACAAGGACCTGGACGGACACGCACGCAGACACTCGCAAAGTTAGTTAAGTGTTTGCCTCCAAGTTGTTACTACCAAATTACCTTTTATTGTCATTTTTGCTGCAGGTCCCCGTACAATGGCCACCCACCAGATAAAAAGACTTCAAAAATAAGATAAATAATAGATATTATAAGCCTTGGGATTTCTGCCAAAAATCAACAGCGAAATGTGCAAAATTATTCATCGCCATTTGTCGAGTAAAACTTCTCTTTTTGTTTCCCAATTTTCAATTGGGCTTTGTTATTTATCCATTGAATTGCAAAAAATTGTTGAAATTTAACTAAATATGCGAGAAATATTCAGCAATCAATGCAAATTCAATTAAGCAAGTGTATTTAGATATCCGAAATTTGTTAAACATTCAAATTTAGAGCTCCTGCATTTTGGATTATCTCATAACAATATTTATAGTAGTGCTTCCTTAATATTGCACACTTAGAACAGAAAGTCCGTTTTTTTTAGCAGATATAATATTATTACAATTTTTTATAAAATTTATATTTTATGTGTTTCAAGTATTATCTTCCTTGTGTGTGATTAATTATTGAAAAGAAAAAAGAGGTGCATAAAGATTTTCCACGATAACTTGATCAGGGATAGAGAAAATTTATATAAGAATCCAAAGTATTATTGATCTTAAGTTAGCTTAAATCTTTACTTCAATATATTAAAGCACAATTTAATTTCAAATTAACCTGAGACTGTGCTTACATTGAGGACAGATATTTAAATCTGATTAATTCAAAATATATTTTAAATTTTACTTAAATTGAAATTAAATAAGCCCAAATTGAAATATAATAAATAGGACAATGCCATTGTGGCCATGGCTATCAGTGCTAGCCACAAACATTTCACTTTTAGCCATTGTGCCTAATCTTACCTTGAATTGCCATTTGCCTGCTACTTGAACTTCTGTCAGCCTGTTAAATGATGTGTTGTCAGCCAATTTAAGGAAAACCTCCTTTTTGTTAGATTTGTGTAACAAAGGGAATTGCAAATGATTTATTTTATAACAACTTTAAAACATTTAATTACTCTCAAAGCAGAGCTCTGGTCGTAGGCAACAGATTTAAGCCAACTGCTGGCGGTTTGTATCTGAGTGTTTTCTGGCTTTCGGTCTGTGTTCTGGCTGGCATTTCAGTTATGCATGCAAAATGCTAAATGCAATGTCAAGCGCCAAAAACGTGCTCAAATAATATTCTACATACCAAATAAAACACAGTGCCTCTAATGGTTGGAATTTAAAATGCATGAGGCCGCCCCTGGAATCCAACCCACCTTCTGGCCGGACGGGGTATTTGTGTTTGAGTTAGTACATTTATATTTGGGTTTTGCGTTTGTTGTCTGTTGCTTTTTTGTGAACTGTTGAAGTTTGTTTTCTGAGATTTGAATATGCATGAGCGGAAGATGAAGCATTTATGGCAAATACCCAGCCACACACACACACACACACACACACATTTATATATACACACTAAGTCTCACAGATAGTTGCATTTGTGTATGTGTCTAGCATATTTATGTTGTTTCTTAGAGTTTTCCTACCCTGAACCCATTGAAATATCAATGAAAAGGGTTAATTGGTTTTGTGCAAATGTATGTAACAGGCACTAGAAGATATTGCCGATCCCATAAAGTATATATATTAACGCCAAGTCAGTCTGTCTCGAATACTAGAAAGTCAACTAAAACGGGGCTTTCATATCTCCTCCTAATTTCAGCCTATCGAAAAAAATCTAGAAAACTATCAGTGCACAATTCATCAAACTTGGTATGTAGGATCTTATTTATTATATATCAGAAAATTAAAAAATTAAATAATTTATACAAATAGAGCCTTGAGATCAGACTATAAATACCGAAATTAATATAGAATGCATGTTAAATACATTCAGCTTGTCTCGATTAACTTGAAACAATGCCGAACCTTGGCATTACCTAGTATGAACAAAAATTAGTCCGATTTTGTAATATTTAGATATCAATTACAAAAAAAAGTCTTTGGTTAGGGCAAGAAGAAGCATAGGCGCAGCGAATGTTTGCAACGGCAGTTTGGCAGGGTATCACCTAACCGGGCACGCTCAACTGGAGCACTCTTAGTTGTTTCTTTTTTGGCTTACAGACTTGGTTTTTCTTTTGGCCACAGCTCTTAAATACTTGTCTGACTTGCCGCTTTGGACACTGTGTGTCTGTCGCCTTTCGATCCATTCGGCATGCTCTGCAAATTTCCACTGCCAAAACCAGTTTGACTAATGTAGCTTACGTGTAGAACATATTTAACTACCAAAGCTCTACGACGCGTGCCCGTTCTCGAGCCGCTGTTCGCCTGTGTCCTGATAATGCAAAACATTTGTATGGCAAAAATGTACGACTACCAGACAGGGACTTCATTTTATATCGCACACTGTGCTGCGTGTGTGTGTGTGTAAGTCCATATATGCCATACACACACACACACACACAAGCACACACAGTGCAGTTCACGGGCTGCTCTTGGAGCGAAATGTACAAAATGTAGCAGCTTTTTTGCGGCTCGTTAAGTTGGCCTGATGCCATTTGTTTTATGTTCCTCAATTTATGAATACCCCTATCTATACGCAAACTTGTAACTGGATTTTTTTTGCATAACCAGACATTGTTAAAGAAATATCGCACGTATACTAACGACAGTCGTAATCGATGCTCTGTGCATGTCTATTGCATCTATTAACTGTGTTTCAGTTTTTTATTAAAATTCTCACCTTATAAACAGGTTTACAATTAAGCAAATATTTATAGAAAATACTACCATTTACAAATGGATGAATTAGTTAGATAGAGGTACTTAGACTATGTATATAAATTTATATACATACATACATATTTCAACTATTTACTTAGTTGACTTGTAAAATATATTCAGCCTATCTCGAGAAACTTGAAACATTGAACGACATTGTCATTACCTAGTATGAGCATAAAAGAAATTAGTCCGATTTTGTAATATTTATCAACTATAAAATATTATTTATATTTTTTATTTATTTATGTTTGTAACGTATCAAATCAGCCTGCAAGTATTTAAATAGTGCTGTCTAATATTGCCCAACACTGTCAATCAGTGATGTCAATGTAAAACAATCTTCGACGAGTTTTGGCAATTGTTGTGCTCTGTCAGTGTTGTAAAACCATTCACACATCAAACTGTACGTGTTTACATTTTCAATCGGAATGTTTAGATTTATAATCCACATTAGTTTATTATTGAATTTTGTTATGTATATTGCAACACAAAGCCTGATATTTTATGTGTTTTAAGGAAAAGAATAAAAGTACAACAAAAATATATATTCTCTATTGCGTCTGAAAAATAAACGCCGGGATCAGTTAAAAAGTTATAATAACTAGATATCTAGTATATCCAAAGGTTAACGTTCAAATAGCGTAATATCTGTTATATTTATAGTTAATGGTTATTCCTTCGAGGTCAAATCGGCCTCTTTTATTCCATTATTAAAGTAATGACATTTTTTAACAATGCCTCACTAAATATGGCTTGAAGCTGGCTAATGAATAGTTCCGGATGGGCTTATACAACTGAATATTGAGAATCAATTTGATATGCCAAACACAATTGACACCACAGCTGACGGCATCCGCATCGATTGGGCATTACCGTGCTGAAATTGAAAATTGTCATTGTGTTCTAATTCGTCTGTTGATTTGGTCCAGTTAAGCCGCAAACGGGTTCGGGCATAGCTGGCTGTACGGCCGTGCAGCTAAACTCTGACACTGGCTATAAAAGTGTCGCGTTGATTGCCAAACAGCATCAGTCAGTGACAAGTCGACAAGTCAACAAACGGCAGAAGAACAAAACACAATCAAATCAATATGAAATTCCTCATCTGTTTGGCTCTGTGCATTGCGACCGCCCAGGCTGGCATATTGGCTGCACCGGTTGCCACCTACTCGGCCGTGGCGCCCGTTGCCACCTACTCGGCCGTGGCGCCCGTTGCCACCTACTCGGCCGTGGCGCCTGTCAGTTATTCCACCTATGCTGCCGCGGCTCCCATCTACAGGACACCTGTGACCACTTATGCCGCTGCGCCAGTCTATACGGCTCCCATTACCGGCTATGCTGCAACGGCTGTGGCCAGTCCCTTCTGGAAAAAGTAGTAAATGTTAATGGTAATACATGGCCCGATATTTGGTTCACTTGAGAAATGAAATACAAAAATAAAAATAAACCATAAACCGAGTCTTGGCAGTCTTTCAAGCATTTCAGTTTGCGTGTGCCTGCCTTTACTTAACTCAATTGATGTTAGCTTATTTTCTTTATGGCTAAACGTTTCTCTTGCCGTTTCCGTTTCCGCGCGCACAAAATAAACATGCTCATGCACACACACACACACACACACACACACGACTATACACGCCCACACCCACGCCCTAATAGCCGACTATATGACTGTCTGGCATATCCTGGTCATGTTGTTCCTTGCGTTTTACGTGCTCATTATCTGTGCTTCCGAATAATTAGATTCAATTACCCACTCGACTGTCTTCCATTGTCAGCAGCCGGTTGCCATAATTTCTCCACTCTCCGTTTTGTTGTTGGCATTAAAATATGCTCGCCTCGACACACTTTTATGCACACAGACCACGTATCCTGCGGTAACTGCTTAATACACGAATCTATCAATTTATCTGGCATCTCTTTAAAATCATTTCACGAGCCGGCACGGGCGCCAGATTAAAGAGGTATTAACACCCATTAGAAAGTCAATTGCCTGTTAAATTCTCGAGGATATTCATCAAGCTTCGGCAGGCATTTGACTTTCACGTTGCCATAGATATTGGGGCTTGGACAGGTTGGTTCTGGCATTTCCTCGGCCTCCCACTCGAGTGCCACTTATTTATCATTTGTATCCTCTTATTCATCTTGTTGCAGCAACAACTTGAGCATGGGATTATGTTTAACGATGCTCATTTGTCTGCTTAAAACGGAATAGGTTAAGCGCTTTAAGATGCTACAAAATGAGTTTGTTCCCTGTACAAAGCAGCAAATCAAAAAGACTCAAGTACTAAAGTCTGATTAAATTAAATTCAGATTATCTGAAAATCCTTTTGGTTGCATCTCTTTTTCCTTATATTTGTGTGCCTTGTGCATTTATATATATATATATCTTTAACTTTCGTAAAGAAAACACGAAATTCCACAAAATTACGTATATTTATTTTTGTATAATTTGGAGTATTCTTTTTCAATTTGCTTTGCATTCTTAAGTAAAATTGTTATTTAAAATCACACATTAAATGAATTGCCTCTTGCTCTTAAGGGTTACGTAGTATAAACTTCTAACAAAATTAATCCTATCTTTAAATTTATATATATATATATATGTATTTATGTAGGTTTAGCAATGCGTGAATTATATATTCAATTACAATGTTAAGCAACTTACAAATTAATATCACTATAAATGCACAAAGATTATATAGTTGTTATTTTAGACAATAATCGTGAGCTGGGATCGTGTGAGATTGAACTGGGGGACGGTTTGAAGAAAATGAATGTGCGATGCAGAAAGTGTAATTAAAATTCGGTGTGAAAACTGTTAGCCGTATCGATCATCTTTGATTGCAAAAATATCTCAGCATTGTCAGTCATCTGTAGAGAAATCAATATGTTATTCAGATTAAAGAAACCTCCCCCCCTGTAAGGCATTTGGCCCGCTTACCTCCTTAAGTGTGAGCAATTCGTCCTTGTTCTCATCGCACAAGCTGAACAAAGTCGCCGCCTCCTGGAGTGCATAGCGCGGTGTCTTCGGATTGACATAGTTCAGCAGCTCGCCACGATCGGCCTTGCCATCGTGATTCTTATCGATAATGCGCTTGAACTCCTCGCGACGCTCTACCAGAGTTTTGGATATAAGAGACTTGCGCAGCAGGTCCTCATCATCGTCCACATTCAGTTCGGAGAACTCCTCCAGCGTGAGCTGATCGTCGCCGTCCTGATCGAACTGACGCAACAGATCATCCACCAGCTCCAGCAAATTGGATACACTCGATTCCGGATGCCTGAAGCTCAAATACTCATCAATTGTCAATGTAAATAGATCCGTTCGCGCCGCCTCCGTCCAGCGAGCCTTGTCCCGCATCATATCCTCGCGCGCCTTGCGATTCAGCGAGGTGTGCCTGATCTCATCGTGCTCATCAATGTCGGCATCTGTCATGCCATGCTCGCGCAGAAAGAAACGATGATATTCATCCCAGGTGATTAGCCCATCGGCAGGTGCGATGTCTACGCGTCGAAATTCCCTGGCATTATTCATAATGGCGATGTCTATATGCTCGACAATCCGTTTATTTATATACTGTCCCAGCTCCTGTATGGACAGGCGTCCATCATGATTACGATCGGCTCTGCGAACAGAACAATCAAAGCAACATTTTTCATTATGCAGAGGGTATTATCAAGATGTTAGAAATTATATGATATATTGAGCGCGAATCCATATTGACTTATATATAATCCTATAAAACGATCTTAATCTGCAAACTTACGATATCTGTTCCTTGGAAATTAATGGAAAGATACTTAGATTCAAAACGCTTAATTTGAGTTATTCGAGAAATATATTCTCTATATAGTCAAGAAAACCACAAGAGCAAACCAAATGAGACCCACATGTCGAGCGATTCTGCTGACTGGCTAGGCCCTAATGGGAGGAGTCAAAACTAATTTATCTGAAGTCAAATGGAGCATGGTGAAAGGAGCATGGATAATATAAAACAGATTTATGAAAGCGCTTGCCACCTTAACATTAAACTCCAATTAAACTGACCGAAAAATGCTATGATAATTGCGTGCATGAAATTAATAGCCATCATTTGTGGCTTCTGCATTTAAATTTCATTTTAATAATGTGGTTGAGCCAGCAGACCACTCCACCTCCCCCTACCACCATGAGAATTGAGCCCTGCAAATGGCGAGTGCCATTTTTGGGAGGGCAATCAAATTGTAGCTGCAACTGCCACAACATCAGTCGACGCGCGGGCCATTGTTATAAATTTTAATTGTGCGCCTCCTTTGGTCTGTTGTCGCCGACAATTTGGTCACCCACATCGGGTCGCTGTTATCAACGCACGCGGCTCGTTAATGTCCCGCTCGAGCATTCCAATTAGGCCACTGCTGTCAGTACCCTTTGGCGCCGACATGCCATGGCCCGTGCATTGATTTGGCAGTGCGAGTCCACCAAAGAATGCCACAAACTATAAACTAGCTGCACAAGTTGCATGCAACACGCAGCGTAAACTTCGCTCGCATTCGCAAATGGAAGAAAATGGAAAACTTATACGGCTAAATAACTTGCAAACGAAGCACAGGCCTCATAACTTTGAAAACAACGGGCGGTAACTATATCCTTGGAGGCGAAGATGTCTTTTAGTATTCGCGGAAATGCTGGAAGTGTAGCTGATTTATTTTATGTAGAATAAAATGGCTTTGTTGGCTTTCGTGTTGGGTGGGCTAGGCAAAGGGAGAGGGGTTAAAGGGTATAATAAAACTAACAAAAGATTGTTACAATGGAAGCACATAACATCGATGCACTGCTGTTGGCGTGACCCTTCCTTGATCCTGCACCAGCCCAATCAGAATATAGTTATTGGCAGGATCTCTAAAGCTAGTCTTGGTTTGGCAAAGTTAGCTTTCGGCTGACACTCTTAGCAAAATGGACGTAAAAGCTCATGGGTATCTGTCACATTTTTGTCGATTTTAATTATGTCGCATTAATCTATTTTTGTTGGGCGAAACGAGGATATGTATGACTATTTAGGACCCATCCGATTTTAAAGAGATAACGTGTTTGCAGTTTAAGTACGTCTAGCTATGTATGTATGTATGTAGCCCAATTTAAGACTGTTCAACACAGTTAAGTGACAATTCTAATGTAAGAAATTAATCAGGGAAAGTAAGAAACTAGACCAGGATTAGCTTTGGTGGCAAGTATTAATCACTTTTTTTTTTAATGAATTAGCATTAATTTGTTTGTTTGTTTGTTTGTCTTTCTCCTCTATCAATGTTGTTTATGAGCACTATATACTAGAATAAACCATACCCGCTAAAACTATATTCTTTTTTTACTTGCTCAATATTATTCAAGAGTTAGAGAAGTGCACAACATATCTCTCTGAGTTCCATGAGGAGATAGAGCAATTGCGTGCTAAAAAATAGAATCTATTAATTGTTAACTTATCAGCTAAGTGCGCATTCGCCTAGCTTGCCAAATGAGCTGGGGAAAGTTATCGCTTAATGACTATCAGTTAAAATTAAACTTAATGGATTGAAAATAATTAAAATATTTTGTTAAGTTCTTAACTACAAACAAAGCGTAATTAAATCAAGCTTGAGGTTCACAATACCACCTTTATCAAAAATGCATTGCCTACTTTGCGGCGCGTCGTCTTTAAAACTGTTAAGCGGTATTTTACACCCTCTCTCTCTTCCACTTTCTCCCTCACGTTTTTTTGCTCTCTCTCGCTATCTATCTCGCTCTGTCCCTCTCTCTTCTCTATCTCGTTCTCTACCCCTCTCTCTTCCACTATTAGTTTCTATCGACATCCTTAAACGTTTTACTACCCATGCAAGTTTAATCATAAATTAAAGTGCAATAGATATTATTTTGCTTGGACCTCAATCAAGTACAGTATTTGGATTAAGACTCGCAATAACTGAAAAGTTTGTCCCGTTAAAGCAACTATTTAAGTGTTTGAGCGACTTCCATTTCTTTAATTTTCAGTTTTTCTTCATTTTAATATCAAAGAACTTAATGCAAACACCACATTAACACAATCCGATTCTAAGCGAACACGAGCCAAAGATCCCATTTCGCCAAATACTTGCTGTTTCATGAAAACTATCCAACACTGGCAATTGGCAAAGAAAAAATCCGCAGGCTTATGCAAAATGCATTTTCGCCGAGTAACTAATCCCATGTCCTGCTGCTCGTCAGAAGGGCATCCAACTTACCAAAATGAACGACTGAGCGATACCCTGCACGTAATTCTGATACAAAAAAATGTTTGTTTTTTCAATACTTGAGTCACAAGATTAGAAATAAAATCTTTGAAAATTACATTAAAACTGTTTGACATCAATGGGCTAATAATGGCAAAA